AGACTGATAAATATTCATTTATTTCTTTATTTATGCACGTCAAGTATACGAATATTCTTTGGGTCGGGCCTTGCACAATTCTAACAAACCGGCCGATAGAATACACAATTGACGAAAAGACACGCACGCTTTCTTTTTAAAGAGTACAAATTTAGGCACGCTTTCAAAAAATGGTCTTCACTTCCTCTCGCAATAGATGTGTATTTGTTTTTCGAACATGAGCACATTGCTCCTATCTTTTGCATCATTTATATTAGATCAATAAACACACTCGCCTTAAAAAAAGTGTCTTAATTCTCACACACTCCACATTTCGCTTAATTCTCACACACTTCTCGCTTAAACACTCTTCTCACTTCGCTTAATTCTCACACACTCCTCACTTCGCTTAATTCTCACACACTTCTCACTTCGCTTAATTCTCACACTCTTTCTCAGTTTCTTAATTTCTCACACACTTCTCACTTCGCTTAATTCTCACACACTTCTCACTCGCTTTAATTCTCACACGCTTCTCACTTCGCTTAATTCTCACACACTTCTCACTTCGCTTAATTCTCACACTCTTCTCACTTCGCTTAATTCTTCTCACCGCTTAATTCTCACACGTTCTCACTTCGCCTAATTCTCACACACTCCACACTTCACTTAATTCTCACACTCTTCTCACTTCGCTTAATTCTCACACACTTCGCTTAATTCTCACACACTTCAATTCTTTCTCACTTATTCTCATTCTCACTCGCTTACTTCGCTTAATTCTTTCTCACTTCGCTTAATTCTCACACACTTCTCACTTCGCTCTCACACAAATTCTCACACTCTCTCACTTCGCTTAATTCTCACACTCTTCTCACTTCGCTTAATTCTCACACTCTTCTCACTTCGCTTAATTCTCACACTCTTCTCACTTCGCTTAATTCTCACACTCTTCTCACTTCGCTTAATTCTCACACACTCCACACCGCTTAATTCTCACACACTTCTCACTTCGCTTAATTCTCACACACTTCTCACTTCGCTTAATTCTCACACACTTCTCACTTCTTAATTCTCACACACTTTCGCTTTAATTCTCACACACTTCTCACTTCACTCCACACTTCGCTTAATTCTCACACACTTCACACTTCGCTTAATTCTCACACACTTCTCACTTCGCTTAATTCTCACACTCTTCTCACTTCGCTTAATTCTCACACACTCCACACTTCGCTTAATTCTCACACACTTCTCACTTCGCTTAATTCTCACATTCTCACTTCGCTTAATTCTCACACACTTCTCACTTCGCTTAATTCTCGCACACTTCTCACTTCGCTTAATTCTCAACACGCTTCTCACTTCGCTTAATCTCACACACTTCTCACTTCGCTTAAATTCTCACACACTTCTCACTTCGCTTAATTCTCACACTCTTCTCACTTCGCCTTAATTCTCACACACTCCACATTCGCTTAATTCTCACACACTTCTCACTTCGCTTACTTCTCACACACTCCACATTTCGCAATTCTCACACTTCTCACTTCGCCTTAATTCTCACACGCTTAATCTCACAACTCCACATTTCGCTTAATTCTCACACCTCACTTCGCTTAATTCTGCACACTTCTCACTTCGCTTAATTCTCACACGCTTCTCACTTCGCTTAATTCTCACACACTGCTCTTCAATTCTCACACTCTTCTCACTTCGCTTAATTCTCACACACTCCACTCTTCGCTTAATCTCACACTCTTCTCACTTCGCTTAATTCTCACACTCTTCTCACTTCGCTTAATTCTCACACACTTCTTCAATTCTCACACACTTCTCACTTCGCTTAATTCTCACACACTCCCACATTTCGCTTAATTCTCACACACTCTCACTTCGCTTAATTTCTCACAACTCCACATTTCGCTTAATTCTCACACACTTCTCCACTTCGCTTAATTCTCACACTTCTCACTTCGCTAAATTTCTCACACCTTTCTCACTTCGCTTAATTCTCACACACTTCTCACTTCGCCTTAATTCTCACACTTCTCACTTCGCTTAATTCTCACACACTTCTAATTACACACTTCTCACTTCACTTTGCTTAATTCTCACACTTCTCACTTCCTTAATTCTCACACTCACTTTGCTTAATCTCACCCACTTCTCACTCGCTTATTTCTCACACTCTCTCTTCGCTTAATTCTCACTTCGCTTATTTCTCACACTCTTCTCAGTTCGCTTAATTCTCACACTCTTCTCAGTTCGCTTAATTCTCACACTCTTCTCACTTCGCTTAATTCTTCACATGCTCTCACTTCGCTTATTCTTCTTCTCAGTTCGCTTAATTCTCACACTCTTCTCAGTTCGCTTAATTCTCAACACTTTCTCACTTCGCTTAATTCTCACACACTTCTCACTTCGCTTAATTCTCACACTCTTCTCAGTTCGCTTAATTCTCACACTCTTCTCAGTTCGCTTATTCTCACCCACTTCTCGCTTCGCTTATTTCTCACACTCTTCTCACTTCGCTTATTTCTCACACTCTTCCTCATTTCGCTTAATTCTCACACACTTCTCACTTCGCTTAATTCTCACACGCTTCACAATTCTCACATTTCGCTTCGCTTAATTTCTCACACACTCTCACTTCGCTTAATTCTCACACACTTCTCACTTCGCTTAATTTCTCACACTCTTCTCACTTCGCTTAATTTCTCACACTCTTCTCCACTTCGCTTAATTCTCAAACACTCTCACTGGTCTAATTCTCACACACTTTCGCTTAATTCTCACACACTTCTCACTTCGCTTAATTCTCACACACTTCTCACTTCGCTTATTCTCACACTTTCTCACTTCGCTTAATTCTCACACACTTCTCACTTCGCTTATCTCACACACTTCTCACTTCGCTTAATTCTCACACACTTCGCTAATTCACACACTTCTCACTTCGCTTCAATTCTCACACTCTTCTCACTTCGCTTAATTCTCACACGCTTCTCACTTCGCTTAATTCTCACACACTTCTCACTTTCGCTTAATTCTCACACTCTTCTCACTTCGCTTAATTCTCACACACTTCTCACTTCGCTTAATTCTCACACACTTCTCACTTCGCTTAATTCTCACACGCTTCTCACTTCGCTTAATTCTCACACACTTCTCACTTCGCTTAATTCTCACACACTTCTCACTTCGCTTAATTCTCACACTCTCTCACCTCGCTTAATTCTCACACACTTCTCACTTCGCTTAATTCTCACACTCTTCTCACTTCGCTTAATTCTCACACACTTCTCACTTCGCTTAATTCTCACACTCTTCTCACTTCGCTTTAATTTCACACACTTCTCACTCGCTTAATTCTCACACCTCTTTCACTCGCTAATTCGCTGAATTCTCACACACTTCTCACCTCGCTTAATTCTTCACACACTTCTCACTTCGCTTAATTCTCGCTTAATTCTCACACTCTCTCACTTCGCTTAATCTCCACACTCTTCTCACTTCGCTTAAATTCTCACACGTCTCATTCTCGCTTAATTCTCACACTCTTCTCACTTCGCTTAATTCTCACACTCTTCTCACTTCGCTTAATTCTCACACACTTCTCACTTCGCTTAATTCTCACACTCTTCTCACTTCGCTTAATTCTCACACTCTTCTCACTTCGCTAATCTCACACTCTTCTCAGTTCGTTAATTCTCACACGCTTCTCACTTCGCTTAATTCTCACACTCTTCTCATTCGCTTAATTTCTCACACGCTTCTCACTTCGCTTAATTCTCACCACTTCTCAGTTCGCTTAATTCTCACACGCTCTCACTCGCTTAATTCTCACACTCTTCTCACTCGCTTAATTCTCACACGCTTCTCACTTCGCATTAATTCTCACACTCTTTCACTTCGCCTTAATTCTCACACTCTTCTCACTTCGCTTAATTTCTCACACACTTCTCACTCGCTTAATTCTCACCACACTTCTCACTTCGCCTTTAATTTCTCACACACTTCTCACTTCGCTTAATTCACCACTTCTTCTCACTTCGCTTAATTCTCACACACTTCTCACTTCGCTTAATTCTCACACAGCACTTCGCTTACACTTCTCACTTCTTTAATTCTCACACACTCCACACTTCGCTTAATTCTCACACACTTCTCACTTCGCTTAATTCTCACACGAATTCTCACACACTTCGCTTAATTCTCAACTTCTTCACGCTTACTCTTCGTCTTAATTCACACACTTCTCACTTCGCTTAATTCTCACACTCTTCTCACTTCGCTTAATTCTCACACACTCCACACTTCGCTTAATTCTCACACACTTCTCACTTCGCTTATCTCAACACTTTCTCACTTCGCTTAATTTCTCACACTCTTCTCACTTCGCTTAATTCTCACACACTTCACACTTCGCTTAATTCTCACCACACTTCTCACTTCGCTTAATTCTCACACACTCCCACTTCGCTTAATTCTCACACTTTCTCTCACTTTCGCTTAGTTCTCACACTTCTTCTCACTTCGCTTGAATTCTCACACACTTCTCACTTCGCTTAATTCTCACACACTTCGCACTTCGCTTAATTTCTCACACTCTTCTCACTTCGCTTTCTCCAATTCTTAATTCTCACACACTTCTCACTTCGCTTAATCTCACACTCTTCTCACTTCGCTTAATTCTCACACACTTCTCACTTCGCTTAATTCTCACACTCTTCTCACTTCGCTTAATTCTCACACACTTCTCACTTCGCTTAATTCTCACACACTTCGCACTTCGCTTAATTCTCACACACTTCTCACTTCGCTTAATTTCTCACACACTTCGCTTCGCTTAATTCTCACACACTTCACTCGCTTAATTCTCACACACTTCTCACTCGCTTAATCTCACACGCTTCTCACTTCGCTTAATTCTCACACTCTTCTTCACTTCGCTTAATTCTCACACTCTTCTCACTTCGCTTAATTCTCACACTCTTCTCACTTCGCTTAATTCTCACACTCTTCTCACTTCGCTTAATTCTCACACTCTTCTCACTTCGCTTAATTCTCACACTCTTCTCACTTTCGCTTAATTCTCACACTCTTCTCACTTCGCTTAATTCTCACACTCTTCTCACTTCGCTTAATTCTCACACTCTTCTCACTCGCTTAATTCTCACACTCTTTCTCACACTTTCTCACTTCGCTTATTCTCACACACTTTTCTCACTTCGCTTAATTCTCACACGCTTCTCACTTCGCTTAATTCTCTTACTCGCTTAATTTCTCACACACTTCTCACTTCCTTAATTCTCACACACTTCTCACTTCGCCTTAATTCTCACACTTTTCTCACTTCGCTTAATTCTCACTTCTCACTTCAATTCTCACACACTTCTCACTTCGCTTAATTCTCACACTCTTCTCACTTCGCTTAATTCTCACACACTTTCTTAATTCTCACACATTCTCACTTCGCTTAATTCTCACTTCGCTTAATTCTCACACACTCCACACTTCGCTTAATTCTCACACTCTTCTCACTTCGCTTAATTCTCACACGCTTCGCTTAATTCTCACACACTTCTCACTTCGCTTAATTCTCACACGCTTCTCACTTCGCTTAATTCTCACACACTTCTCACTTCGCTTAATTCTCACACACGCTAATTCTCACACACTTACTTCGCTTAATTCTCACACTTCACTTCACCTCACACACTCCACACTTCGCTTAATTCTCACACACTTCCACCTTCTATTTCTCACACACTTCTCACTTCGCTTAATTCTCACACACTCTCCACACTCACACACTCCACTTCGCTTAATTCTCACACACTCCACACTTGGCCTAATTCTCACACACTTCACACTTCCTTAATTCTTCACACACTTCGCGCTTCGTAGTAATGAAGCCATTTTCGGCGATTTCCTCAGGCTGTTCTATTCGTGGAACAGCGACCAGTACGGCAAGTGCCACACCTTCAACTCCGCCTTCAGGAGAATCGAACTCAAGAACGGCAAGGTATTCAACGCTATTCCGTGGAAGACCTCGTCTGTCGGGCCGAGAGTAAGGAGAGTTTATGCTTACCTGTGGTGGAGGTTTTCACTTGCTCTCTCTCTCTCTCTCTCTCTCTCCTTTTCTCTCTGTGTCTGCTTCTCTCTCTCTCTCTTTCTCTCCTTTTCTCTCTCTGTCAGTCTCTGTCACTCTCTCTTTCTCTCCTTTTCTCTCTGTTGTCTCTGTCTTACTAATTATCCTTATAATCTATTATTTGTATATATATATATATATATATATATATATATATATATAATATATATATATATATATATATATATCGTCTGTTTACGTTACCTTAGTCTCGTAGAGATAATACATGAAAAAATCGTTTCATATCCCGCATTAGGACCCTCTTTGGGACTAATATTGAGAGACCAATACATTCTGCTATCTCGAGAGACGGATCCGAGACAAGGGCTCCACTTGGTGCCAAAGAGCTATCATTTAGCAAACGCCCATTTTGTTAATAATAATAATAATAATAATAATAATAATAAATAAATAAAACGAAAAAGAGTGGCTGAGCATCATAGACTCTACTTAAGAGAATTTGACAATCTCAACCTCCCCCCCCCTACAGAACGGCATGCGACTCACTCTCAGCATCATGACGAGGAACTACCTGACGCTGCTCTCCCCGAAACTCGGCGCCAAGATCATCGTCCACTCCCCTCGCCACATCCCCTTCCCGGAGGACGAGGGGTTCAACATATCTCCCGGCATCAGCGTCTCCGTTGCTGTCAAGACGGTGAGGGGAAAGGGGGAGGGGGGAGGGGTTAGGGAGGGGGAGGTGGGGGTGGGTTGGGAGGTGGGAAAAGGGAGGGGGGGGAGAGAGGAGGGGGTGGGTGGGGGGTGGGTTGGGTGGGTTGGAGGGGGGAGGGTGGTAGAAGGATGGGGAAAGGTGGAGAAGGAGAAGGAAAAAGGAGGGAAAGGGACGAGGAAGAATTGGGGGAGAAGGAAAGAGAAGAGCAAGAGAATTGAGGAGAAAGAAGAAAACTTGAAAGAAAAAGGGTAAGGAAGATGAATGGGGGGAGAGGGTGAAAAGGAGATAGACGAGTATCAAAGAGTAAGGGAATAAAAGGGGAAATAGGAAAAAAAAAGTGATCAAAGGAAACAAAAATCATTTTCGAGAGGGTGTTAAAAAAAACATATTTAGTCCTACATTTTCTAAACAGAGATCAGTAGAACGTATCAAGCAACCAATACCTTTCGTCTCTTAACTAACAGACAAGAGAGAGAGAAAAAAAAGAGAAAAACGAAGAAAACCAAAAAATCGAACTCTTTCTCCCCCCCAGAAAAGGATCGAGCGCGTGGGCCAGCCATGGGGAACCTGCGAATCCAGCAAGGACACACAGAAAGAATATTCCTCCCTGGTAAGTGCTTCCGAATCCGATGTTGGTGTAAAATGGTGTAAAAGATGGATAATAAGATTTCCTTGTTCGGGTATAATGGATGCTGATGTGTAAAGCTGGTAAGCGGATTCCCTTCTTATTGCACAAATGCAGCACAAAGAAAAAGAAAGAAAAACAGGTAAAAAGGGCTAAACGAATGAATCAAAACTTTTTATCACCATCCTAGTATCTATCTTTTACATAATTACAGTATCTTCTCATCATTACTAACAAACTATATCCGTACTCTAGTACTAATGGACATCACCTTAATTACAGCAATGCAAGAAGCTTTGCCAAGAGAAAGAGTTCTGGAAAGTATGTGGCTGTTACGTGGGTGAAAGTCCTGCCTACGGGGACGTGTCCAAGCTCAGGCCGGCAAACCAGTGTTCCCCCTTCAATGTGACTCAGAGTAGGCAATCGTTTGGGTGATGGTCTTTCTCGGAAATGGATCGTTAAAGAGATTATATGACTTAGCTGATTGTTTGGTTGTGTCGAAGCTTAAAGTATAGGTTTGTTGGATTGAGGATTCGATATTTGGATGATACGATGGTTATTGATATGTTTTAATTCTCTCTTTCTTTCTCTCTCTCTCTCTCTGACTTAATTCTGATAATCCATTGTAATCATATATGTATATATATATCTTTATAGAGCTTTGCATGGCGACTGTACTGTTTTCCTATCAACAAGGCCTCCTGAACTGCAAATGCCCACCTCCTTGCAAGTGAGTACAAATCTAAAACAATATATATACATTTCGGTAATGTTGAAAAAAAAATCAAATAACATAACCTCAAAATAAAATGCATGGAAAGGAGACTTTTCATCAAACCACCAACTTCCCAGTGTCCCTCGAAAAGCGACGGCATTTTGTCCAACCACACGTAAACAATTTTCTGCTCTTCCTCCAGCGAGACGGTCTACAGCACGCAAGTGACGTCCAGCGAAGAGAACAAGGGGTTCTACACCATCGTGCAGAATATCAAGAGAGCTGACATGGGGGACGACCTTTGCTCAGGGTGAAAGACCGGGCTTTGGTTATTTTCTTGAGATTTTCTTTGCGAGTCTTTCGGGCGGTTTGCTAGAATTGGGTCGACCCAGTTCATATTCATATATACGGACATGCACTTAGATGCATATCTGTCTGTTTATCTGATAAAAAACATAAGTATTTATCTATCAATTTATCCGGTAGATATGGATATCTAGACTGATAGAGATGTATTTATTTCTGTGTATACGAAAGTCTGCAATAATATTTTACTGGGTCGGGCCTTGCACAATGTCTGCAACCTGGCCGTTTGTCACGCGTGGTTAGAAGAGAGAATGTCAGATTATGCTATATCCTAGCTAGATTGGTGTACTAAAAGCCAAGTAGGATTTTGATTATTTTAAAAATCATTCTGTATTTCTGTTAGCAATACCAAATTAAGCTCCCAGAGAACCTTGCTTGAAAATCGACAGCGCCTTATGATAGTGTCTATCAAGTTGAGACATATTTTTTGCTCAGTCTGATATATCATTTTTTTTTCTGCCATCATATTCTCATGATTCACAGACATGCTAAGATTATAGCTTAACCCACCATGATCTTTGCAACTTCAGGTCGGAGAATGAAACAGTGAGAGTGCATTTATACCTGGAATCCCTTAATTATGAAGTTATAAGGGAGAGTCCGGCTTACACGGTTAGTTGGAGGAGAATCACCACAGATCCTCTTCCTTCTGTCTCTCCTCTCGCTTCTTTCTCTTTGTTTCGATTTTCTGTTTGTTTGTTGGTCTGTTAATCTTTCTTCCTCTTTCTTTCAGTTTGTTTGGCATATCTGCTTCTCTCTCTTCTCTCTCTCTCTCTTTCACTGACTACCTATCTGTATACTTATATATTTCTTGTACTTTTCCTCACCATTCTTATCTATCTATCTGTCAATCAATCAATATATCTATCCATCCATCTTTCTGGCTATCTAGTTCTTTTTTCGTTATACATTAGGCAAAATGCACCAGTGAAATATTCAAATGATCATATGTTGATTCCTCCCTCACATACTCCTCCCCCTTCCTCTCTCCGCCCTTGCAGTGGGACACCCTGATCTGCAACATGGGCGGCAACCTCGGCCTCTTCATCGGCATGTCTCTCGTGACGCTGGTGGAGCTGCTCGAGTTCCTGATCGACATCGGGATCCTGTGCTTCTCCGGCCGCAAGAAGACGCGACCGGAGGCGAAGCGGGTGGAGGTCAAGCCGGCCAGTACCCGCCCGCCGCCGCCGCCCGCTCAAGCGCCGGGCCTTCCTCCCGTTTCTCCTCCGCCTGGTAAGCTGTTTCGTAGGTCTTGTTGGTCTCGTGTATGTGTAGGTGTTACTGATCGTGGCGATAACGTGTTGATCTGAAAGACATCTGTGTGCCCTTTACTCGTTCCTCTCTTCATCAGAATTTACTGAATGCAGCACACAGACCCACGTGAGCCTGCAGCCCTTCAGCAAGGACAAGACCTGGAAGCGCCGCGCCCTGGGAGGCAATGACGGAGCGGGAAAAGCCTTCAACCGCATATTCATGAGCCAATAGCCAACGGAGATTACACGTATAAATCTGAGGCGTTGAGGATGGGAGCCGCGAACTCAACAAAATCTTGTATTGAGATGAATGGGTTTAAGGTTTCGCTTATCGTCCTGACCACGAGTTTTACACCATATTTTAGAACTTAAATTCCCAGTCATTATAGAACAAAACTATTTTTTTCTATAAGATAGAGAAGATTTCATAGAAAAAAAGGGGTACAAGGACCGCATTTTCGTTAAGGTGGCGAGTTTGTCCTCCCATTCTCAACGCCTCTTATATCCACGTTTCAAACGTAGAGGTAAAAACGTTTCGGGTAAAGGTTGAGCAAAACGTGCTTTGTACAAACGTGGAACAAGGAACGTTTCCAACACACGTTAACCTAGAAGCATTTCTTGCAGTCGATGTACGAGAAACGTTTGGCAAAATGATATTCATTTTGTTTCCTTCAACAGCTTTGAGATAAATAGCTCCATATCACAATAAATTGATATATTTTGTATATTGAGTGGAGTGATTTTATTCTGTTAAACTGCAAAAAAATATTACACTTATTTTTGATTTGTCGGTTAAAATTATAATTTCCAGTTATGACACTATTGTAAAGCAAGAACATCACGGATAGTTTTGCATTTTCACTTTGATGAAATAAATGTATAGATCAATAAGAGAAATTAAAATAGATCGAGAAAATTCAATATACATACATGCATATATACATATATTATATATATTATATATATATATATATATATATATATATATATATGTATGTATGCATATATATTTACACACACATTATATATATATACACACACACACACACACATACACACACACAACACACACACACACACACACACACACACACACACACACACAGACACACACACACACACACACACACACACACACACACACACACACACACACACACACACACATATATATATATATATATATAATATATATATATATATATATATATACATACATATGTGTGTGTGTGTGTGTTGTGTGTGTTTATGTATGTAAATTGTCTGAAATGGTGACGCAATGTAACAGTACAAATGGGTTTCTCAGACGAAATATTATTCCTCATACCATTGCAATGTTGATGGTAATGAAAATATTGATCATTATTATAATAGTACAAATAATGCTAATGGTCATGTAATATATTATTCATGATTACAATAATGATGATAATAATTAATAACATTGATACCACTACTACTACTACTACTGATAATAATGATAATGATAATAGTAACAGTAATAATAATGATAATAATGATAATCATAACAGGCACCAAAAATTCATTTGGAACTGAAAATAACTATAACTGTAACACATGTTTTCAGCTCCGGTATCTATTATCTAAATTACTGTCATTATCATTCCTTCATAAGTAAATGCATCTATAACATATACCCTTATACTGTCAGTCATGTCTTATCGTCACTGTTATTATGCGTATAACAGGGCGTCAACTTTCATTTCCTTCTAAAACTCTAACATATATCTTTAGATCATTGTAATGGTTTGTTTGCATCCGATATAAGCCTACAATTTGAATACAGGAATCTCTTGCTACTTCTAGAGAGCGGAGTTTCCAGTGATTGCAGGAGTGTGCGACACTTTTTATGGTAGAGAAAATCTTAATCTGTGATGAAAGAATTGGACTGGTTTGCAATCCTCTTTATCTGCATATTATCACAATCCTCACGCATGATGGTGGTTTCAGATCTCTTTGGTTATTTTGCAAGCCATTCCAATCCGAACGAAAACGATGTGCCTTCAGAGAGTATAAACGTTTGTGTTTCCCGCGTGGTTTTCTTTCGTCCCTGGCGGAATGTAAACAAAAGAATGTCGATGCTTTGTCGGGCTTGGAGAGCTGCGGTTGATATTGGTTTGAATACTATTTTGAATGGAGTTCTTTCATATCGATTCATCGGAAGATATTTGATGGAATCTGTTATTCACTAAAGAAGAAAGAAAATATGGAGGAAAACGGAAAATTGAATGAAGAAAAGCGGTTTTTACAAAGTAGAAACCCGAATCATTCATAGATCCCTATTGCAGTAAACTATGAATTGTATCCAATAATTCGAATCAATCTAAAGGAAGAAAAACAAAGAAGAGGGAGCTATGATATAAATAATTCAAAAGCAAACCTACACGTAAACGACGGTTAATCCCATTCTATTCATAATATAACGGACTCCGACGAAAGTAATCAATAACCACATTGCCTCTCCTGCCATATCAAAGAAAATAATTCCTCTTAGATATGACACAAGTGACATATTTCTACAATGTGATTAATCATTTCAATATGAATTAAGTATATATTCCGAGAGATATAGCGAAGACATATAATGAGAATGTGTGTAAAAGTAAACATACTCAGGTATATATATAGATACAGTATACTCTGGTAATTAACGTCTATCTACGTCACGATCCGGATCTATTATGCCTAATAATTGATGATGATGCATTAAT